ATGTTGGCAAGATTAGGAGTTTCAAGAATTTTCTGAATTTGTGATGGCACAACAATACGACGCAGACCGTAATACAATTATAGCAACCTACAGTCTCAATTTGCTTCCCAGATATGAAAAAATAAGATACGCGTAGCAAAACTGTAACTGATGGTAGCACTTACAGGTTTCAAACTATACTCCGCAAGTGTAGTAGAAGTAGGCTTCAAACTAGTTAAACTCACTTTCAACAAATTTCTGATTCCTTAAAGATCGCCGGTACAATTAAAACAAATTTAGTGACATCAAATATAAATCTGTGCTAACTTCCATTTACGACGAGTGGTGTGTCAAAACTGACATGTTCATGAAGCAGGGTAGACTGTTTTAGGTGGCATGTATCAGGCTCAAAATAAAAAAGTAATTCACAAATTCTGAAGAAACTCGTGGTTATCAAAGTCTCCAGAAGATCATGTTACTACATAAGATCATCAGTGTTTACTTTGGTGCAGTTACGTAACTTTTAAATCTCATGATAAAAGTTTGAAACAATAAATTTCTACCTCAAAAAAGTTTTTAAAAGAAACAGCACTTAAGAAGTTAAACAGAGATAGCCAAAGTAACTTCCAGACAAAAGTTAATATTTGCTTCTCAAGACATGCTAAGTTCTAAAAAGATTTTTTTAAAAGCAACCCGAATACTAAGATACCATACACATAGACCTAAAATATTCAGTCTCTCATCAAGTGCACAGATTTATTCAACAAATAATTCACTAAATAATTCACTGTTAGAAAGTGACTGACTGAGTCCATTGTACATTTGTTAAAAGGTCAAAACATTCACCGAACCATGAAAAATCACACTTCTGATAGAAGAAAAATTAATACTTAACGAGACCATTAATCTCGCATTAGAAACTGAAGAAAAACTTCTAGCTAAACAAGAAGGGCAGTGCAAAACTAAGAAGTAAACACCTCCAATATATTTCTTAATGTGCTTTATTACATGAAGTTTCCTCGCTAACTGCACTTTTTGATCGCACAAAATTAAGTTACGATGATTGACCCGAAAATACACAATACTGAATAACATGAGCGATCAAAATGAAATGCAAGTGTGAAAATTGGGCACTGTGGTAGAATGTAGTTCCATATAAGATAAGTTTATTTCAAATATCACATAACGATGCAGTATCAACAACTTGTTGACCTTTTGAGCATAAATTGTTCCTCATAATCATATCAGTTTTAGTCAGATGGTGGCTGAGCACTGTAAATTATGGTGATAAACGTTTTTTGTATTAGTGCTAGAGAACCTAATTTTTTGTCACATTGACAAAAGCACTTACCATTTCTAGCATACGATCGACAAAGGCATGTAAAAGTTATTATGTCACATTTACAAATACGGAATGCCTGAAACACCCTTGAATGATCCGCAGAATTCGCTCCGTTGTGACTTCAAATGATCCCCCTAAATCATAAGTATATTAATTGTAGGGGTGCTTATACTGCGATCCTTGTAGCTAATATGCGCCAAATAATATAGACTGTATCAATACTGATCTGCCAGTAACTGCTGGTAGAAATTTCAAACCACCCAATTAAAAAATCTGGAGGAAGTTATGGGGAATCTTAGGGACAGATTAATGTCAAAATACGGAGGAAAGTTTGTTGAAATGCATAAAACCTTCTAGAACACAATGCTTTTTCTAAAATTAGATAGTCTTGAGCTTCGTTCATGTCATATCAGTCAACTGTAGAAGCTAGAAGAATCTTTAAGAGATGATAAGTATAAGGGGTATTTGTGAGTTTGAGTACTTAATTCCCATTTTGTATAGACAGCCAAAATGGTTAGCTGCCTTGAGGGTGATCCAAAGCCGTCACTTAGAGTCGTGATCTGCATTGTTCTCAAACCTAAAGTGGGCTTGAAATTCATATTTCTGTGGACTATGAATAAGTTCAGCATTGTGCCCTATACCGTCTATAAGATCATGAGATTTGAGGTTCATTTATGAAGTATTTATTTCTGTAGCTTTAGTTATGGTGGGATTCTCCGGCCAACTAATGTCGTCAAGACAGGTTGGCGACGTTATGGACGAAGTTACGAAATCTTACTTTCATAATTTGAAAAGTCGTGTCCAGACGCTTATGCTGAAGAAAGGAAGTCAAGTAATATTTCAAAACGCTTACTTACATTTAAAAGCCATATTTTTAGTCAATATGCAATAATCATAACATTAATTTTTATTTCTGGGCAAATGGAAGCAAAAATGTTGGGAGAAAACACTGGCTGTTATGTAAGTACACCCTTCTAAATGCACATGCTGATCATGAAATGATCAGACATTTTCCTCAACTAATTTAATATTTTGCTTATTTTCAGAATGCTGCCAGTGGACCTCAGTTGACTCTGATTTCTTTCTGCAAACTCAATGAACCGTGTATCCATAGGATACAGTAAGTGATAATTAGCAGCAGTGTTTCCATAATGCGTTGAATGTATCGGTTTCTTCGGAAAAGGAGACAAAGTTAAACTTGTAGCACCATTAAGTACTAACGAACAAGTAACCTTGAAAGCACCAGCCACATGGTAAAGGCAGCTTCTGTGTATAAAAAACATATACTCATGAAAACAATGAATTAAAAGGCATAAAACTGTTATACAAGATACCTTTCTCTGACGTGTCACAAAAGAACCTCTCAGTTTTGGACTGAAATATCGGCAGAGTAATTTAACCACATATGATTCATGTACTTATCCATATCTTTTAACCCTAACAATAATTCTAATCTTCCTAACCCAACTGTAAAGTGAAAATATCCCTAAACTAACCCTAATCTAACTCAAACCAACCCTAATGTTGCCCTCATTGGACTACATTGACCCTAACCTGTCCTTAGCCTAGAATTTAACTTAGTCTTTCCCAAACCTAACGTGAAACGTGCAGGATATCCCACTTAATAACATAACACTTCATCAAGCATATTTTATTCATAATTACAGTTTTATTTACCAGGTCTGACTAACTTGCTTACTGATCGTTTTAAGGTCATTGGTGTGGTCACATTCCACTGGTACTTACTGGTGCTTAAAGTCTAGCCTGGTCGAAAATGACTTAGTGATTGCCATTATAGGATGCCATTATAAGCCCTATCTTCAAAGAGGGGTACAGGCAATTGGTATCTAACTACCGGCCGGTAAGTCTGACATGCATTGTAGCAAAGGTATTGGAAACTATTATAAGGGATCAGCTATTAGCTTATGTTCAGAAACATGGCTTTCTGGCTGTGGAACAGCATAGATTCCGACCAGGACGATCCTACCTGACAAACCTACTATTGGCTAGGGAAAACTGGATTGAGGCCAGAGATAAAAACCTTCTGTTGGACGTGCTTTTTATCGATCTTAGTAAGGCATTCGATAAAGTGTCCCACTTAGGTCTCCTTAGTAAACTTAAAGGTTTCGGACTAGACCAATGCCTATGTGAGTGGTTTGGGGACTATCTAATGGATAGAAGGCAGAAGGTTAGAGTTAACGGTTTACTATCAGGGTGGAATGCAGTATCCAGTGGAGTGCCTCAGGGAACTATATTAAGCCCCTTGCTATTCCTATTATACGTTAATGAACTACCGGGGATTCTTACTTCATCTTCACTATTATCTGCGGACGACATTAAGATCTGGAAAACTGTAAATAATAACGATGATAGGTCGGCCCTACAAACTGATCTAGATAAATTAGCTCAGTGGTCGAACCTGTGGAGTTTGGAAATGAATTCTAGGAAAAGCGCGCTAATGCACTTAGGTCAGAAGTCTTATACGTCGTACTGCCTAGGGGACACAGAACTACCTGATGTTAACGAACAGAAGGACCCAGGAATCGCTGTCAGTAATGATTTGAAAACAACTGTATATTGCAATGCAGCCGCAGCTAAGGCTTTTCGAATGCTATGGGCACTTCGAAGGGCTTTCAAGCGATTAGACGAGGGCATGTTCCAAATATTCTACGCAACATATGTCGGGCCTCATCTAGAATACTGCATACAAGCGGAGTGTCCATGCTTCAAAAAGGAGGCACATTTCCTGGAAAGAGTAGAGTAGGAACGGAATTAGTTAGCGGTATCTCGCATTTTCCTTATGATAAGAGAATGAGGCATTTAAATCTCTTCCTGTTATCATACCGAAGGAAGAGAGGCGACTTAATTTTAGCATACCGTATACTTAAGGGTGATTTAGGAACTGACCTTTCTGAACTTTTCTCCCCTTCTAGGATACATTTACGGGGTCACCGCAAAAAGGTGCTCAAATTGAGGACGAATAAAATACGTGCAAAATTTAGATTCTCTCACAGATTGGTCAACGAATGGAACTCCTTACCTGATTCAGTAGTATCAGCTCCATCGGTGAATGCTTTCAAAGAGAAGTTAAATCTCTGCAGAGAGATATTTCGCAAGGATTAACACAGGCCAAAAGAGCCTTCTATCCTTATCAACTGAATCTGAATATGAATCTGGTTTCTGAATTAATGTTCATGAACTGCGCCAGAATACTAGTTAGCGCTAATTCAGGGCTGACATCACTCTGAAGAAACTGTCAGTATGCGTTAAATTAAGTTTGATTGTTCTAAAATAATGCCAGTAAGTGCTACATCTGGGCTGACGGCTGAAATAAGGCTGATACACAAACCCAGCAAGTTCGGAGCTACTCCAGTAGCATTTTTTCAAGAGCTCCTCGGAGCTGAAATAAATGCCTGGACAAAAACAGTGTGCTGAATTAGTGCCAGCCATGCCAAAAACCAGCACTGAGTTCCAGTTTGTGCGCATAATCGAACAACTTCAGAACAATTTCAAAATTTACTTGAGTAACTTTATATGCACAAGGATATAGAAAAATATCATTTGATTATAATCAAGCTGTAGCTTCTAAATGTAGTGAATAGTAATAGAAACGTAAAATTAATTTTGATATACTATGCTTCCAAACGGATTGTATGCGAAAAATATGAGTAAAACCTACATTTAATTCCCAAATCTCACGACCGAAAAATAATATTGTATTAGTACGTCACCTCGCAAAGGTGATGAGATACAACAATGGTTTAGTAAAACAGATGGATTTTGGGTTCACATTTATTGCTTTCAGTAGAAGGTATCAAATCCTTGTGAATCTTGTTCCAACAAGTTTCTATGCTTCTTCAAACCCTTGAATAAATCAGTTGAGGTAGTCGGTTCCAGGAGTATGTGACTCGGTGTGAGAACTAGTAATCCACCGCCATATAGTTCCTCCTTGACTTTTGAACTCTACTGCTATTTCCTCTGAGGTATTCTTACGTGGGTGGAAGAAAAAGATAAAATAAGTCAAGTGCGTAATCATTTTCCGAAATTTCGAACTCTGTATTGAGATTTTTCTGACTACGGAATGACAAAGAGATGAGATTCAAAGTGCCTGGTATTTCTTCGTATGATAATTTGCTCACTCCAAGAATCATACTTGTTGCCTTCATGCGAACCCTTCTATAATGTGTGAGTTCACCTTAAGACAAGGACTGACTACATGGATACAGTTTTCCAGTCACGATCCCATCAGAGATGTATATAAAGAAGTGGACACACCTCTTGTGATTCTAGTAAACGATTTACGTTCTGACCATAAAGATCTGACACCATGAGCTGCCAACACATGATAATGTACTTTAGTTTTTAGGTCGTGATTTATTATGAAACCTAGGTTCACATAAGTCTGAACTGATAGGAGTGTAATCCCATTTGGTTCGTATAAGCTGGCGTCTGATTGGACGTACTGATGGTTTCAGACTTCGTTGCGTTGACAGTGAGCGCCCAATCTCTGGTCAGATGGTTTAGGTCTCCTTGTGACATCCGTGTGTCATCGTCAACCATTAGTTATCACCAAATTATTAAGTTATCTGCGCAGAGTATTCGGTAAGCACAGGTTACTCATTGATATACGATATGAATAATAGGGGACAGATTATGACATCTCGTGACATTCCACCACGTATCGTTGTCCCGGAGGAGTCGTAACTCTCTCCCTCCTACATAGGGAGATTTCGCTTATCCACTTAGGTAAGTTTCACTTGATACCGAAACTTTCCGATTTCTTCAGCATTCATGCGCGAAGTTTTAGAAACCGAATTTTCCATCAGAATATTTATTCAAATTACCGATAAACACTTCATAATACTGTAGAAGACTAGTGTTGTTTTCAAACTTCATTTTCGACAGCATGGCAGAGAGCTTGTGGGGCAGTTAACCTAGCCAAACACAGAAGTACATTCAGCATTAAAAAAGATAAAGAAAGCCTTACAAATCATAAAGAAGACGTATATCTCACTTGGTTATGCATTTCGACCTTCGGAATTCATAAGTCACTAACTAGATCTGAGCGGCCATAGCGTACTATGCCGTAGAAGCCTTACATTTACCTACCCCTGGAAACGACCTTTCTAAGAATGTAGGTTTCACTAGCATATCCATCAGAGTCATATCTAAGGGTTTCTGTTGAATGCCTTTGTTTTTTCACTGGCAAGCTTAAACTCGAGCTCGACTTTGGCTGTGACATCAGCTTTCGAGTCGTTATTCTGAATCTACACAATAAGAAAATACCGAATATATACGGCACAAATTCGAAGAATAGGTAATGTTTCTCCATCTAGCATTTTACAAATTAATGTAATACTGTCAATCGTCAAGTTACTTTATTGCTAGTCTTCCCTATCGAAGTTGCTTTTAGACCATTATCGGCTGCCTCATAGTTCATTCATTTTCCACTGTTACCCAGTAAACAGTGTCTGCCAATTAAATGCCTCCGTCAAGAGTACTTTCATGTAAAATCAGTCAGCGGGGCTTTGTTAAACCTGTCTGTTCAGACAAATATTATGAGACTCTCCTGCAGAATTTCCTTCTCAATGTCTGTCAAGATAACAGTTCACGCGTGCGGTGGACAGGTATATCTGGGAAAAGTGTGAATAATGAATTCGTCAATACTTACTTCTGGATATTGGAACTGGTGCTTTATACCATGGATGTCTTCCAATATCCAATATCGTTTTTACGAGCTAGTGTAAACCAGTTTGATTTCTTTGTGCTCGCCTCTTGATTTTGAGGTAGAGTTTCCTGATCTTCGATAAACGTCTGCGTAGCTCGTCCCGCCACTCGACTGCCGTAGCTTTGGTTGACTCCAAAAGTAGTAGTGCTGGGATTAATTATATGTTGTTCGTAGTATGCGGTGTGTTAAGACTGTTACTACTGTGAATGGAGTTGATCCTTTCACCAGTTGGTCCTTCGGTATCGTCGTCAATAGAAAAGAGATAATAATAGATATAATTAGTGAAGGTATTCAGACTAACAGACAGAAAAAGAATAAGAAAACGTAACAACAGTCAGTTAACCGGTATACATATATATATATACCAGTAATAATGATAATAATAATAGGTGTAGTTAAAGCTGTCAGGAGAATAAGACTGAAGAGAATGTAAAGAAGTAAAACGACCAGTTTAATTGTCTACCTTTGAATGGTGTATGCGATTTTAAGGGGATAGGCCATTTGGATTCAGTCCTTGTGTCGCTGCGTGGTTGTCCAGCCTTCGCTTAAAGGCGTCCACAGATGGTGCCATAGCTACATCTGCCGGTAAGGAATTCCAGTGACGGCAAACCCGCAGGGAAAAGAAGTGGGAGCGCACCCGGATCCTTGCCCTCTGATGAGCTATCCTTCTGGGATTTCCACGAGGGAGCCTATACCTACTCAATGGCAGAACACCTTTGTTTGGGTGATTCTGATCATTTGTTATTTTGTAGGCAGTAATTAAATCCCCCCCTAAGGCGACGGTAACTGAGTGTGAATAGGCCTAATTTCTTCAGCCTTTCATCATATGGTTTATTTCGGAGACCAACCACTCCTTTTGTTGCCCGTCGTTGGACTCTTTCCAAGAGGTTGGCGTCTCTTTTAGGCAGTGGGTGTGCAATGATATTATGCACTTCAAGATGCGGTCTGACGTATGTTTTACACAACCTTAGAAAGAGCTCAGGAGTGAGTGCACCTAATTGTCTATGTGTAAAGTGTATGACCGCATATGCCCTCGCTACATCCCCCGTGTAATTTACGCTTGTGTCCATTTTCTCCGTTAGAACTAGACCTAAGTCACGTTCCGACGTTGAGCAGGACAAGCTTTCATTGCACAGGGTGTAACTTGCATTCTGCAGTCTACATGTGCGTAACTTCACTACTTTGCACTTTTTCAGGTTGAAAGTCATGTCACTGGCTACCGCCCAGTCTTCCAGAAGCCTTAGATCTGCCTGCAGTCTATTTGAGTTCTCCCGACACTTTGTCGCCCTCCATATCTTCACGTCATCAGCGTATAGAAGAGTCGGGCAGCTTAGACGGCATGGTAAATCACTGATAAAAATCAAGAACATCAGTGGTCCCAGGATAGAACCCTGCGACACTCCTGATGACGAGCCGTTCCAAGATGATCGGACTCGATTGACCTCGGCGCAAAATTGCCTTTCAGTTAGGTAGTCCTTCAACCATGACAGAAGTGGTTTACCTAAACCTACCTGGCTTATTTTGTGTAGGAGAAGGTCATGGTGAACAGTGTCAAATGCCTTCTCAAAGTCTAGAAAGATCACATGGACTGGAACATTCATATCCCAGCATGATGTCCAGTCGTCCCAAGCTGATAATGTTATGTTCCACCCATCTTATGTTCTTTGTGCTAGTGCCGTGGTTATGTTTACCCTAGAGATTTACAATTTATTACTTATTTTGTTATTTGAGAAAAGGCAAGATACATCTTCATCAACCTGAAACCAGCTTGAAAATCTTCCACACTCCACAGTATAAACAACAAGATTCGGATTAACAACAACAATATCACGTCAGTCCTTCTAAACGAGTCAGAAACTTACACTGCGCGTCACGAAAAGCCTTTCCAACAGGCTACTGCAAACTTTTATTGACAGCTGCTTTCGCTGGGTCTATACTGAGGATCAAATGGCCAGCTGGACAGAAAAAATTAGCAACAAGAAACTCTGGCTGGCAACAAACTGAACCATAGCCGATCGCTCAACAAATATGTAGGAGAAAATGGAGATGGATCCGGCATGGAAGAGGAGGCCGTCGAGTGACACCGCGAGCAGTGCAGGCCATCGCTTGAGTGGAATACCAATAGGAAGCGACGAGGAAGTCATCTGAGGGTGACATGGAGATCGTGCGAGGAGGAGATGAGAGATTGTGGGCAATCGTAGACTCAGCTGAAGAGGTCGGCACTAAATGGAACGAAGCGGAAATGTGTTGCTGAAGCCCTATGTTCTACTCGTAACCCAAAGGAATAATAGTTGTTATTTCACTCGATATATTGCATTGGATTGTCTATTGCTTCTATCTAGGACAATGGCTACTGTAGTGACGCTGGCTAGGAAGTTTATCTTGCCATATGTACATTGGGTGAAACGTTTTAAGTTGAGAAAGAATCTATTTGGTGTGCTGCCACATGCGGCAAGGTGGGATTTCACCCGGCTTCGACCGAAGAACACCTGTTCACTTACATGCTCCTGGAGACGTCTCAAATACGAAAAAGAAGGAAGGCGCCGATTTGAGAAGTGAACGATTTCACCGTTTCCTTATGAGGGCCTCACTGCCAACACAAAAATTCTGTAGATAATCAGAACATATCGTAACGGTTGAAGGTGAAAGACTTGGTAAAGGAATGTTCACTTGCAATTTGGTATCCCTGTATTGCGAAATTATGTGCAGCTTATCTTCAATGCGCTATATACACAGATATTCGTGTTGTGCTACTTCTGGCCTTCATATTGTGTTTTTCTGTGTTTCTTTCACGTCTCCCATGTATCTCCACATTATTTGCTTTCTCTGACATTGGGTATATCTTCCTCCTATTTGATGTGTTATAATAATAATATATATTTCCTATCAATGCAGGACACACCAGTTGTACAGGCATGGATAAGTATTATTTAAATTACATGAATTTGATTTATAGTGAAATTACATGGTTGCTGTCCTCTCTGATATCAGTTAGTGAGCACATTCTGATAGTTAGTCGTTCAATGGAGCACATAAAGAAATATAGAAATATTGTCTTCGCATTAACAAAAAAAACCCAAGTACGTGTCGGATAAATTACAAATATTTGGGAAAAAAATAAAGCTTGAAGTCAATTCCTCCATATAACTTTGTTGTGTGCGGCATCGTATCTTGTTTTATGTTCAA